GATGGAACAGAAAACAACAGGAACAGCAACAAGGTATATATAACGAATAGTAAGCGAAATACAAGGGATAAATATCAGATAAAAAAAGCCGATAGTCCAAGGATAGAATAATAGGCAGTCCCCATGCATCATACGTTTCTTTGGTTCACCAGTGTTTTGATGGTAATAATTCCATTGACTTGCTGCAAAGTTATATCTTGATGGATAGTTGTTCCTAACATGTACTGTCTTCCCTACTGTCTGTGGCGTGCCCGTCCCAAAATTGATTCTTCTACTCTCTGATACCACAGCATCAACAGTGTTGTGTCGACTGATACCTCGGGGTGCAGTTCGTGTTTGAACAGGGTAAGAAGTCATGTTGATGGATATTAATGTTTTGAAGTTTAGAATAACTGCTAGGGCTGTTTTTATTTGAAAGAAAGAATTTTCGCGAAAGAGAACTCTTTAATAATATACAGGGAGAATATATGTTGTGCCAAAGGTAGCTGGTTTTTTCCTACTAAATATTGACAAAATATATTTTCTTTGCATAGAAGCAATAAATTTAAAAAGATAAGAAACAAATAATGGAAGAGAATGTCTTCTGTGCGTATACGATAGGTAAGACACACAGTGGGCGGAGGTTAGATGCGAAAGTGGAAGTGAATTTTTCGAGATTTGAATAGTAAGTCATACACTTTGATTAACGACCAGTCTTTTGGTAAAAGCTATTTTGTTCCAGCTGCTAAATTCTTTGGAAAAACTTAGTTGAGTAAAAAGGTCAAATTTCGGCATCTTTAGAGAAAACCTTTACTGAAAAACATCATTTTTTTTTAAAAAAGTAAGACTTGGGCAATTAATCATATATGTTCTGAATCTAGAACTTCTGCTCTATCGCTTTATAAAAATAGTTTCCCGTCTCTGAGTTTTCATTCGGAAAAAATAATCATTCTTTTTACGCTAAGCGTTTTGCGAAAAGACGTCTTCATAAATTGGCATTTAACAACCAGTTTTATGATCACCAAGTCATTCATCGTTTTATTCTACCGCGTCATGACTGATATAAATGACTCTGATTTTCCTAAATAATTTAGAGGGTTTTCTTCTTCGATTCTTTTCTGCTCTAGTTCTCTCTCTTCAACTCTTTGCTCTAGATTGTAACAATGATATAATCAAACCGCGCACAGTACAAGAGAGTGCCAAACTACTCATGGACAATATCAGTCGATTTGATCCTTGTTTCTCACGTTCCTTAGAATTTATAGAAATTAGAAATTAGAGACATTAGCTTCGCAGTATAATGTTAAGGTAATATTCGATGAAAAATTTTCATTTCTCTAAAAAAGGTTAAAGCTTAATTAACCTTAAAACTTTAGGTAAAGTTTCGTTGACTAAAATCTCAAAAAAGTGAAAACTCGCCGTTGGTCGGTCACCTTGTTTTCAAGTTTTGGAACTGTTGCACCACTTTTAAAATAAAGTTTGTCGATCGAAGTTTGCGCTCAGTTTGTGGAAAATTGAATTCTTTATTGCCTGTGACCTTCAAATTATTGGCGGAATTCTGTTTGGAGGATCAAAAGTGGGATTTTCTGGAAAATTTTGATCCTTCAAAAGCCCAATTCTCCAATTGATGTGGGTTTTAAACCGTCACTTCCTACTTTAGAAAAATTAGGAACTATATGATTTTGTCCACTTTTATCGGGCTTTCGAATGAGATGTTGCTCAAACAGGACGGATAAGAAATGGCGGGGTTATAGTCCGAATATCAGAGATGGATACTTTTCGCAAATCGACGATGATACTCATTTTGTAAATTCTATAACTCAGCCAGAATGAGTCAGAAAACTTTTTCATACTTTTCATAACCCCAGTTTTGATAGTAGAATCCGAATATGAACTACAAAGTATATATCAATTTTTCACTCGTGCCCGGTCTTTGGCAAGATACTCGATCGACTGACGAAGTCTCTCTTAAGCATCAGACGAGTTTTTCATTTTAATCTCCAGCATTTTGTATTAGGTTGGCCAAAAAGTTCTGCAATGGTAATTCCGCCCTCCCCTCCTCACACCGTGATCAAAACGTTTGATCAGCCCTAAGTATATTCTGATAGCGCTGGAAATTCTCTATGGTCCTATATATTTGTCTACTGTCTTGCATTTATCTATTGAAAAATAACTTGAGTACAATGAAGACATCCTCAATTGACAAGCGTGCCTGCATGATAGTCAAATTATTCTTCAGCACATAAATGCAAGATAAGACAAAAATATACAGGATGATAGGGAATTTGAAGCTCTATCAGAATGTTTAATTCCTTTTATAAAGATTTATTTCCATTGTGTCTATAATTTGAAAAAGCATAAAAAGCGGCGAATTTTCGTACTTGTCAATTGAGGGTGTCTTCATTGTACTCAAGTTATTTTTCAATAGATAAATGCAAGACAGTAGACGAATATATAGGACCATAGAGAATTTCCAGCGCTATCAGAATATATTTAGGGCTGACCGAACGTTTTGATCATGGTGTGAGGGGAGGGCGGAATCACCGTTGTAGAACTTTTTGGCCAACCTAATATTTCCAACAATGAATCTAACTTTTGCGAGGACCCGGGTCTTATGTCGCGTCCTAGCCCTCATAACTTTGAAGGGGGTCTTCTAAAGCGTCCTAAAAAGCCGATTTTAAGCTGAAATCACTTGATCGAGAGTTCGCACAGTGTACTAAACTGTGTACGCGCACACTTCTTTTTGTCTAGCAGCTGTATATTCACTCTAACCCAGATCGTCCATTCCGGCGTCAGGATTCTGCCGGATCCAACATCGGAACATTCCGGAAGTTGGTGGAATTCGGTAAAATCCGGCAGCTACCACGTGTAGAAGACCTTGGAGTAATTCAGCAAAATCGGCATTATTATTAAATGGTTGCTCATCGCCTTCCCTTTTAAACTACTCGCTGCCACCAAATGTTAAGATTAAACTAATGATTTAATCAAAGAAAAACAAGATTACACGATTCTATTCTGTTTCAAGAAAATCGAGTATTGTCCTGTTTATGTTTATAGTTTCGTTTCAGTACTTTCGTTGTTAAGGCTACAATCTACACACTAGTCATCGAAATTGGTGATTTTACAGTGACTTATGATGTTGTTCTTACATAAACTGCTAAAAAACTGTGTCAAAACGGTTTTGTAATCTTTACCATCATGATAGGCATAGAGAGTTTTTTTTTTTAAACTTTATTTATTTATTGATGAAACAAATAGTTATAAACTAAGACAGGTCAAAAGAGAGCAAAGCCCCATTATTATCGTCCTGCCTAGCCAATAAAAATGAAAAAAATACTAAGGAAAATAGCAGAGAAAGAATGCACATACATAATAAAGATAAGAAACAGAAAGAAAAAAAGACATAAAAGGAGAAGAAAGGAAGGCGAGGATCGAGTGTGCTAAGAGATACAGACCAAATTTCACATCATAAACCCTTTAGTTGAAAGAATATATTCAATAACACTATGGTACACGATCAAATACTGTTCCTTTGAGAGGAGAATTTTAAGCAATTCACTACTTAGGGGTTGCAGCAAGTCCAAAGTTGAGAGTTTCTATTCAAGATTATTTCGTTGCGACCGATACAATACAAAATGTAGCAGATAATGATCAACACTCCCAATATCACCACAGGTACAAATTATTTTGTGAGGTATATAAATTTTCGCAGTTTGCTGTATACCCGATAATAAAATTAAACATTTATTTTCAACATCTGCATTAAAAAAGGAAAGGGCAGATTCATTGAGTTTCCTAGCAAGAAAAAAGCGATACTGATCCCAACTAACAGCGCTATAGTTCCAAATTTTACGAAAAGTATGTGATGGAGGTTGGACCTTGCCATCTAGTTGAATTCGAACTGTTTACATAGAATAGGTAACACTTTTGTGTGCTTAACAAGATTACGATTGTTTGTAATCACTAAATCTAAACACGTTCTTGAAGTGAGTCGAGTTGGCTCATGTACATGTTGAAAAAATCCTAAATTTTGTACAAAAGAAAAAAATTTATTGTCTTCGGCTGTAGAGAGTTTCTCATTGCACCATTTTGAGCAATGCGCGTTAAAATCTCCTAATAGAAGGACACCAGAAAGAGAGCGCACAGAAATGATAGCAGATATAGATTCAGATAAAAATTCCATGTATGCTTCAAAAAGGTCTAGATTGGATTTCGCTCTATATGATAAAATGACTAAAATATTCCCAGTAGCAGGTAAGGTAGCAACGAAAAACATAGTTTCAAAATTATAGCTATCAAAATCGTTTAACTTTTTAACCAACACATCGTTGCGAAAGTAAATTAAAGTCATCATTTCTCCTTTCTCTATCTAAACGATATGATGTATAGTTTAGTATAGATATATCATTATCACTGATATGTTTAACAAGCCATGACTCTACAATGGCTACTACAATCGGATTCTCAATAGCTACCAGAGTCTTTAGTTGACCATATTTAGTAAGTAAGTTATTTTTCTTATTTTCCTTATTATTAAAAAATGCAGATGCTAATAAACTACGAATGTTTAAAAGAATGACTATTTGTTGTGTGTGATTGATCGCACAGTCAGTCAATCTATCTGGCATCATAAGAAAGAAAACTCTCAACAGTAGAACGGACCGCAACACGCAAGTAAAAAAAAGAAATAAGGAGGAAAAAGGGATATCTTGACGATAAAATTTATCTTGACTCTCAAGCACTCGTCCTCATCTGTATTGTTGAAGAGAAATAAATAAAATAAGCAAGAAAAAGAAATGACTGGAGAATACGATGACATAGGCCATGTGCCAGCATATAATGATATCTCCTACCGTCACTGTGCATAATGCATAATTCGATTTAAAAGGAAGAAAAGTACGAAAGAAACATACGTGAATTCATCTATTGAAAGACATAAATAAGATAGAGAGCTAAAGGAGAAAGGACTGAACAGAAACCATAAAAAAAATAAACAGAAAAAGCCTTGACTTGCCTGATTCTCACGCACCATTTAATTTTAATTTTAAAAGAAGATCAGAAACTGTTTGGTCTCTATCAATCACCACTGGTTTCTCTTGTAAAGAAGACCGGTGTAATACTCTCCCGTTTCTTATGTATACATGGAATTTAGTGTCTTCGGATAAATGTTGACGCATTTTACTAAATAAAGCCATTGCTCGTTTTGTACAGTCCTCAAATACAAAATATTTACGATCGGATTGTTTTTTTCGTAGTTTTTTACGATGTTTTAATAATTTTTGACATGTTTTACGTGAATAAAAACGGGCAATAACATTCTTCGCACCCGTAAAATGCGCAACTTCAATATCATCATGTGTTATTGTAACATCTATCATTTTTACAATTTCAATTATCTTTGCTTTTGGATTTTGACCTTTGTGTACACCATTAAATCGAAGGTTATATGAACGCGAACGACGTTCAATATCATCGACTTTAATTACTATTTGTTCAATTTTTCTTCTATTGTGTTTAAAATTGGGATAGTTAACAATTGTGTTATACCATCAATTGACTTTGATACATCACCTTGATTATCAGATAGTAATTGTTTAATATCACGTATGATTGACTGATCTGTTGTTAAACAATCTTTAATCATTGATGATATATCAGGTAAATCAAGTGACTTAAGTAATGATTTACCATCCCTTTTAACATTGATAAAACCAGGTTTTGGTATTCCGCTTGCTAGTAGTTGTGATGACATCATGAATAAAAGTACGTATGTATATAAGTATGTATGTGATAGAAAGAAGAGAAGGGAGAAATCAGAACATGGAGATAAACATGTCTTATCACTATGAAGAAAAGAAGAAGAATCAAGCATAGAGAGTTTTCCAAAACCGACGAAATAGCTTTAAACGGATTTGTCTGATGATGAAGTTTTGACGAGATTCTGGAATAAGACTAACTAGTTTTTGAATACTCTGATCTGTGTCTTTTTGAATAAACTGTTTACTGTGATACCAGTAATGTTCAACAGGGTTTGTTTCACAATGATATTTCGGCCCGAATATTATCTTAACATTGTACTGCGAAGCTAGTTTCTCTAATTTTGTGATCTAGATGGAGAGAAAAAGTACTGAATTCGAAAAATCGAGTACTTCTACTCACTTTTACTAACCTGATTATTTATTTCATCTGATAACTACCTACTCAGCCAAATCCCAATCATAACCTTCGTAGTCGATCAGCAAACGGAGCACAACTAAGCATGCTCAGTGTCAGTTAAACATTCATTTTTCTATTGTACTTTAAGTGAATAGTCTAGTCTATGTACTTCCTGATGTTTTACTTACATTCAAACTATCGATGTTCAAAAAGAAGGTCAAAAATGGTGTGATTGTTAAATATCCTATTGCAGAAAATCGTATAAATAAAATATATTATCGTAAATTTCGAGTTGGCTTTAGTCAACGAAATAACGATTCATAGCGATGAAACTTAATACCTGATCCTTTCTGCTCATGCAGGGCTGTTGAAACTAGTGAACATTTTTTCCTTCATTGTTCTACGTATAACATCGAATACTCTTTACTATATTATTCTGTATTACGATACATAGATGCGACAATGCGTTTTGCAAGTGCAGTTAAAATAACCTTCAACTTTAGTAGACCTAACCAACCCTTTAACTCGATTGCAACTTCGTTTTCTGTATTGTTGTTTCTTTTTTATTGTGATGTTCTGTTTCATTTTGAATCTTTGTTTGCGAAAGAATTGTATAAAGAATGGTTATAGAAAATCAAACCGGGAATATACAGAACGTTATCATCCCTTCTTTTTCGTTTTCTGTTCTTATTTTTTTGTTTCATTTCTTTTTCGTTTTTCTTATTTGCTCTATTTTATCTTTTCATTTTATCTCTTTTATATTTGTTTTCTCTTTTTCTGTATTTTTGTTCATTGTTGACAAAACTGCTCGTTTATATCGATCGCTAAAGCGAGTCGCAGACTTCTTGCACTTAGTTTTTCTTTCTTTCAATCAAAACGTTTAGACCAAGTCAGTTATAAAGTGCTCTATTTACCCTTCACAGTTGAAAATCCTTTAGCTAGAAAATTAGGGATAAAATACGTATGTATATTGAAAGTATAAACGAAAGAAATGACATACGTGTTGTTGAAAGCGACATGACTGTATACTCACATAAGTAAGGATAACAAAGCCAATAGAAAACTAATGTGATGTCCAAAAATGTTGCTTCTCGATGTTTAATTATGTGTTTTGAAACATTAGACAAATTAAAGAGAGAAATAAGTAATTTAAGTCTATGTTTAGCAGTTTTAAGCTGCAAACCAAGATTACATAACACTGTACGCGGAATTCATCTAAACACAGACTATCTCGAACAGAAATGTTGGTCCTACAATACTACACATATTCATTTGACTCGACTATTGCTACTATCAGTATGGCAAAATGAGTCTTATGCAATTGTAAAAAACATCTGGTAACACTCGCAAGGTTGTTTTTTGCGAAAGAGAAGAAAATGCTTTCATTAAGTCATAACATGGTCAACTTATTAATGAACTCAAAATTAGTACTTTGTTGAAAACGGATTTGCTGACCTAAGCAAAACAAATGTAAATATTGTTAGTTGCACTACGATTGGTGCCACAAGAGAAGGCCGGTGGTTAGTTTTTGAATAACAAAAGGAATAAAAGATAGAGACTTGCAGTTTTCATCATTCGCTAACCAAGACCTGAAGCTATACTTTTATTAGCAAAAACGAATTTTGGAATTTCAAAGATTAGTTTTTCAGAAGGTCTGTCGAAAACCACTTTGGTTCTCTGAAAACAGACATAGAAATCTATGGGTTGTTTTCATAGATATATAGTCTGGACTGTCCTCAACAAAACTGGATCTAAACCACATCTTGGAAATTCATGGTTCGAGAACTATGGGCATTTTTTCTGAAGCCTTCTCACTCCTCTGCCGTTATGTTTTTATATTCACATATTCGCGCCAACTCACTTTCACACACACAGACACAGAAAGGAAAAAATTTAAAGCAACACAGAACAAAGAAAAGAAGTTGAAGAATTTAAAAAGCAAAAATAACTGGTTGAAAAGAGAGTACAGTAATTAATTTTTACTGAATGTGTATCTGACCTTAGACATTTGACAGTAAAAATTTGAAATCGAAATATTGAGTTTATGAATCAAAAAGTAGGTGTCCATCCGTCTCAGATATCTTCTGCAATGCTAATGATACAGACTTCGAGGTGGTGTCAAAAATGGGTTCAGCCAGTCAAAAGAAAATATGCGACCGACCTCGAGAAAATCTTGAACGGTTACATCCAGACATGTGCGCTGATAAAAACGTTTCGGCGGCGGTAATACAATAATATAATACTCATTCGGGATTCGCTGAACATTTTTCAGTTTTTTATCCGCATTATCCAAAGCAGCAGTTAAATAGTGTTGAAGAACGAAGAGAAATGCATATTTTTGGGCGTCCAACTATGGATCTTCACCTGCATGTACACTCTAAAGAGTTGTTGAACACTTTCGAGAAAGCAGGCACTAGCAGAGTCTGGAAGAAAAATAACTGTAAAATCACTCATATTTCTGGTGTTACTTATATAGATGAATGAGAGCAAGACGAAGTGGTGAATAAAAGTAGAGTCATCGCATCTTATTAAGATCTTAAACGATAAGCTCTAAGATTATCTTATCAAAAGCTTGAAGGATAACATCTTCAAGATCTCAGCAAGATAATTTTAAGAAGTGTCTAAGATTTTAACTAGCGTATAATCGAAAATAATTTTAATCCACTAATATCCAACACTTTGTTCTAATCAGTTAATCGAATATATGATTTCTGTCGTCAGCGACAGCCAAAGCCATCTGTATGATTTTGAGTTAGAATCAGTTAGACATTGATGCCATATAAGGATGTGCGGTAACCGGTAATTTATCGTCGATAACGGTAAAAGCCATTTTACCGCGGTAACGGTACGATGAATTTACCGAAAACTTAGATTACCGCGGTAACCGTAAGATGAATTTACTGAAAAACCAGATTACGTGGTAACGGTAAAAAAATTTTTACCGAAAGTCCGGTAAATACTTTTTACTGAATTTTTCTCCGGTAAAGTTTCTTTTATCGAACTTCGAACTTTTGTCTTTTATTTTGTTTTTATTTCTTTATTTCCTTCTAATTCTGACCATGTGGTGATATAAATTCATGCATTCTGCGTTTAGGTGAGGGTGAGGGTGAGCGTTTAGTATATCTGGACGATCAATGCAGAATCGTATTAATCTCAAAGCTAATGGGTTTAGTTATAGTATGTTTCTGAAAGACAAACTTTAATTAATTCTAATAGACGATATTTTAGAATAGAAAAAGAATATGTAGCGTCGAAATTTGAACTGTTGTTCATGACTCAGATTACTTTTATTCATTTGTCTCAAGAACATTTAGAGACACAAACATTAGAGTCATTCAGGTATGATATAGGTAGTTTTTTAGATATATTTGATCTTCTCCTTACTTAAGAAAATCAAAATCTGTATTTCCGCTAACTCCCTACCTCTAGGCCGATTATATAATAGACGGCCTTTTCTGAAGCAAACAACATTTATTGAAACGAGACAACGGTAAAAAAAATTATCGAAAAAATGAACGGTAATAGTTTTTTTACCGAGACAAAAAATCGGTAACGGTAAAAGAGTTCTTATCGTACGAAATTCACCGCGGTAACGGTAAGATGAATTTACCGAAAAGCAAGATTACCGCGGTAACGGTAAAAAATTTTTTACCGTACTAAATTTACCGCAGTAGCGGTAAAATATTTTTTACCGTTACCGCGGTAACGGTAAACGGATTTACCGGTTACCGACATCCCTAGTGATATTAGAAGATTGATCAAATTGTATTCAGTTTTTGTGTAGCGATAATCTATCACATTATAATTACAAAAGCTCAAAGTTAAAAAGAAATAGCCAAATGAACGTATTAATCAAAAATTCATCATAAATACCTTTTTGTTTTTTCCTTCGGAGAGAGAATTTCCATTCGGTTCATTATTAGCAATTGCACCGACCGTATTGACAATGAACCACATAAGGATAAAGTATATGAAACAAATCGATAATGAATATTTTGTAAGTAGTACATTAATGTCAAATAACTTACTCTTCTTATTCATTGCGTTTTTATCTAAACAGTGCACACAGTCAACATGGCTGTCAATTTTGAATATAACATTTACGTTGAAACGTTGAACGTTGTTTGCAACTATTTTCTGTCAAGCAACTCCAATGGATTTCAATATGCTTCACAAAACTCGTTTTTCCTCCTGTCTCTCATCTTTTTCAAACATTGAATAAATTAATTAATATGTTAATATGTTAAAATAATTCAAAATGTTCAACTTCTGTTGTCTGTCGACGGAGACAGCGGAAATTTTCTGAAGATTTCTAAACGCACATGTCTAAACGCTAATGTGTACAACCGAGTATGTTTTTTAAGCAAATGTGTAAAATGAATGTAAGATCTAAATTTTTTGTATGCACATCTACTTTTTTCCTGTTCCTTCTTTTCCTTATCACCCTTCAATATAGTAAGAAAAAGTAAATAACACTAGAATAAAACAGAAACAAAATAATTATTAAGATAATAACATCGAAAATCGATATTAACGAAAGCGTAGTGTGTTACAATAAAAAAATTTCTCCTTAAGTGATACGCATAACTACAGCTA